AAACCAACGCTTAAATGAATTTTTACCCATGTTGACAATAAGAATCAATTAATAATAATTTATATATTTTTGTTTAATTTATTTTTTTAAATAAGATTTTTATTAATTCTATATTAAAATTTATAAAATAATAAAATTCATTTTCTCATATTAATTCAATAAATAATATAATATTAAAATGAATCTCGCTCGGTAAGTAAAACTCAGATCATATGACTTGGCCTGTTTTATTTGGTTTTAGCCAACATGTGATGCAGAATAATTACATTATTACCTAATACATCACAAATGAACAATCCTAATCTATTGTATTATATATATATATATGACACAATCATTTCTACCTAGGCTATTTTATTTTGGTTGCAGTCCGCGACTTTTTAACAATGCCTAAAAATAAGAAGACATACATGACATTGGAACAAAATCAAGAAAACGTTGATAACCTTGAGAACAATGTGCACTCCTTGGAAGAAGAACTGGATGACTATATTTTTATACCTGTCAGAAAAATAGAAAATCTTCCAACAAGGATTTTTAAACAAGCAACTATGCCAGTGGAAAAAAGGCAAAAGCTTTTGCAATTATATTTAAGAAATAAGTTCATTAAATTTTCCCTACTGGCTATGGACAAAGAATTGGCCAGAAGAATATCCAAGCCAGCAAAGGAGATTGATAGAATCTTGTCAAAGATTTCATATTGTATCTCTGCTGTCCTCAGGCCTCTTGACATTGCTATTAAGACTTTTTACAAATGTCAGCCTCCCTAGGACAATTATGAAGTCTCAACTACCTGGAGCAAGATGGAATCAGCACTCCTTGCATCTAGATCATTACTTCTTAACTCCTTGTCCTACATTGGTAAGCAGAAGCATAACCAGATAATCAGATATATTAATTCGAACCATCAGTCCAAGCCTGAAAACAATACTTTTTTTGACAATAAGCTCAAGCACATTATTATGGGGAGAACAAGATCAATAAATTTTTTAATGATGTCCTATGGCAAAAGCAACAGGCACAAAACTCACAAAAGAGTTTTAAACAGAAAATCCAAGGTTATAAGAATAAGCATAACAAGGGCTACCACAAGAGTTCTGGTTCTTGACAAAAGAATCAGGATTTTTGGCAATCTGATCTTCAGTCCCAATTATAATAGCATGACCAGTAGAAGACAGTATTGGCACAAGACTCAAAGACTTCAATTAGACCTGATCAAAGATATTTGATAAGCTGTGGGTCATAAACCTCTTAAAAAATAAATACTTATTTACATGAGCAAGGGCTCACCCTCTAGAGATTTGACCTATTTCAATGATAGTATATGGTATCAGAGAAATAGTCACTTTGGAGGAGAAAATCACTCTATGCACAAACAAGGAGTAATTACCTCCTTCCTTTCGGACACATCTTGTTTTACTTTAAGAATCTTCCTAATTCTAAAGAGGTCAAGAGAATTCCATCCTGGGGTTGACAATTTTATTTAACAATATGAAATTTTTATAGAATTAGTCCAATTTTACATAATAAATGACAATAAGAAAAATAAAATAAACAAAAAAAAGAAATTCAAATCATAGATTATAGCAAAATCATTACATAATGGATTGTCATCTTTGTTATCATATTACATAATTTATTTATTTGACAAGCAAAAAAACTGGATTACATGACTTGGTCAAGTCTGTTTTTAATATTTCTATAACATTATTTCACATGTGTATTGTTCATTATTACGACATGTTCTGTTCAAGTTATATCTTGTGATATTTTGCGGAATCAACTTGTCACAGGTCGCATTATAGTTACCATGTTACAATAGATAATTATAGAAATCCATATCATATAATCGAATATTGTTTAACCTATTGGTTAATTTGATTCTTTAACTAAAGTCAAAATTGACTGTACCAATAAAATCAAAATATGAACACTCTAATCAGGTATTGTGCGATGTAACTTGGATCAATTAGAATAGTACAATAGAAAGACAATACAAATACAGAAGGCACTATATATTGTGTATTATGTAATGATAATTACAATCTCTGTTATGTAATCAATCTATGCTGAAATATAGCAGAATCTGATCTTGTGTCAAATTAATGGTTGCGAAATGTGACAATAAAAAAGAATATTATGAAAATTCTTATGTAATACTTCTGCATTGAAGCTTTATTTTCTATTATATATTTTTGATTTTCATATATTTAATTTATTTTATATAATCCAGGAAAATTATTTATAAAAGTTTGAAAAAAATGATTTATGGGTCTATAGCACAGTAGTAATACTCCATAGGTCACCAGAAGAAGGTCTAGGATTCAAACCCACTTGGTTACAAAAATTTATCACCTTCATGATTGGTTGACTGGCTTTCAATACATGTTATATCCAATTAGTTGAAAATTATTTATTAAATCAAGCTAGGCTGCATAAAGATAGGATCTCTGGTCTTTTTGATGATCGCAAGCTGAAAACAGGTTAAAGTAGAAAAAATTGCACAAGGCAAGGCTTATGGTCTAACTCTGTTATAAGTCCACAACCCCAACTGGAATGGCAGACTCCATATCATCATCCTATCTATTTAGGTTGGCTAGTTTTCTGATTTAGGTTGTACTCAATCAACTAGTACCCCAATCTGGATTGACAGATTCTGAAATTCAATTAAACCTTTACCTCTCTATTTGATGTTGGCGCAATCTAAATTGGTAATCCAATTTTCAGAAAGAATTGAGTTATAAGTCAAAAAAGAAACTGCTAGGAAGGTTTTTTACTGTTGGTACAGGATTTTCCTTACCTTATATTTACAAGTAGGGAGTTATAAGCATAAACCAGAGTATGGATCCACCTACTTGGTATAAGTTGATATTCTGGTAAAAAAGGACAAGTAGCGTGAGTTAATATTAACAATAGTTAATAGACTGTTCATGTATAGATATTTGTGATTTTAATTGATTTGACAATAATAAAATCCTTGCATGTATCGCAACTTAGCCCTTTAAAAAAAAAAAGTTTGAAAATCAAATAGCAATGTCTCAACATTTACATTTTATCATTAACCACCTGTGTAACGGTTACACGAATTTTCGATGGCATTATCGACAGACTCGCTGTTTGCACGTTACAATATCTTAATATACGTGCTGAAGCCATTTTTGTGATAGGGAAAGAAAAGGATATATTATATGCGGTGTCAAAACAATCTCGCAAATGAACTTTGCTCGGAATCCGGAATATACTGTACAGAATATTTTTATTTCAAAAAACGGGTGCTACTGTTGCAAAAGCATTGACTAAATCAGATCTCGATTATAATAATGTGACAGAACCAATTTTGAGATGAAAGAAGATCTAATCATACGAGTATAAGCTATCCTTTAAGATTTATTTCTGAATTTTATAATTTCCCGTTGTTGTCGCCACCGGCGAGTCCGTCGCTAACTTCGGCTTCATCTCGCGTGACGATAATCCGAACGCTTGGGTTTTGGTACTGAATAAGGGTAAGGCTTTAACTCTGAGGCGGTTACAATTTGGTCGACTTTCGCGCAATTGCTAATCTCTTCTTGACCGTGTTTCACTAAGCGCATCTCAATATTACAAGTGTCACTCTCTAAACGGTGTAAAGGCAACTCAGTCTCTTCCCTTAAGTCGTTTATTTTACTGTAACGGCGTACTCTCAGTTTATAATGTAAGGAGTGTTAGTGTTATTGTGCAAAGTTGTAGCATTTATTTAATAAAGCGAAAGAAAGTTAAAGAGCGTTCTCAAACTCTAAACTCTAATTGCGAACAGACGCTAGCCAACCCTCCTAATTGACTATGGAAAACTATCCTATTTATATGCCTTGTTGACACGTCCATTTCATTATATGCTATTACTAATTATTACATTATTCTACCCTCATTATTACTATTGTTACGTGACGCGCTTCAATGTCGCATTCCCATTCACAACTCATTACATACTTTCTCTGTTGTCTGTATTGATAAGATTATTTGACCGCCGTTGCGCATGAACTGGTGTCAATCCAGATTTTCACACATTACATTTATGGTAATTCATAAATACGTATTGGGGTTTAATTCTTTTTTTTTTAAAAAAAAAAAAACTTGAATTTTCATTTTAAGAATCACTATTTGTCTAACGAAATAAATATTTTTTCAATAACATCTGTTTTAATATTACTTCGTCAATGAAAAGAATTTTTCGGGTTTATGAATGTATGATTCAAAGTAGTATGGAGACGCTGAGTGTTATTGCGAGATGACCAAAAACTATTTTACCAATAACGACAATGAAATTAGTCGCGTTGTGATTCCTTTAACAAAGTAAAATATAATTATAAGGCACGTTGGTTCGACTGCTGTGAAACATCACAATTTGGGCTTGCATTGAAGGTATCACAGCTTATTCTATTCCCCAGACCTTTTTTGGAAAAGCTTTTGTTTACCATGTCTTTTTTGGATGCTTTTATTTGCTATGCCTGTTTTTGGGATGGCGCCTCAATATGATTTTTTATGAAAACTAACTGATAACGGAAATTATACACAATGAATGAGGTTACATTGAAATATACAACCTTCTATCTCTTTGATTGTTCCGGTTGACATTACATCCAAAGAAACGAGGTTTAAACGAGGTTTACCTATGTTGACAATAAAAATCGATTAATAATCGATTTTGTTTTCTTCGTATACGCCATAAGATATAGTATTTTAAGAATTCTATCGTTTTTCGGCATATTAATGTTTGGTCTGCAAAATACTGTAGATATAGCTGAATCTCTTGAACTCTGAACACAATCAGCAAATAATCAGTTGAACGTGTGACATTGAACAATAAAAAAATAGTCCAATTTTTCGTTTCTAGCGAAAAAGACGCTTCCTAATTTATAATGGATCAGCTTTTTTTGCATTTCAGTCGGAGTCCACCTCCATATATTCCACGTGACGTCTAGTGCTTATTTAAAGACACGAAAAAACGCTGAGCTAAACTAAAAATGTCGAGCTACAAGTTCGTAATCTTTATTCTTGCGATCTATTGTTATATGGTCGTAGAGGCTACCTACTGTACGTGATATTTATTCGTCAACTCTAAGTATATACCAAAAATTTGCATTACAGTTTCCGTTAATTTTGTTAGACTTTTTTTTTTTTATAAAAATTTTCCTTGGTCATTTAAGCAATGAATCTAACAACATTTAATATTAATATAAAATAGACGTAACCTTAAACACTCCTCAAAATGTTCAAACGGGTTCAACTATTACAATTAGTTGGAATCTTACTGGTACTCAAGACTCCAATGCCGAGTTAGGAATATATAAGGAAGCCACTTCAGCTTCTACAACGATAAACGCTAGCGTGGACCTTTCGCAGGGAAGAGAAACCTGGGTTGTCACTGTCGATGCTGGAAATTACAAACTATATATACTAAATGAATATACTAAGAATATCATATATTCTGATGTTTTTACTGTCCAATATGTTAGTTTGGACAGTAATGATAGTTCGAGCAGTACTACTGGTTCGGGCACTAGTCCAGGTAACAATTAAGTTTTTAGTGCAAAATAATCACACGATTGGTTTTCTAACAAGTGAATATATAATTTTTCTACATTTTATAATGTACATAAAGATCTAATAATCATCATATTGGCTTTTTCAATAATGGGTTTTGCTGTTATTACTTTCGCTATAATCGGAGTTTACAAGGCGGATGACAAACCAATTTTTTTAATATTATACTTATTAGCATTCTCCCTTCCTCCATTAGCTGTTGCAATATGTTTTCATAAAGGTAAACCTAAAAGTACTTATGGCGCAACAGTTCACGTGATATTTAGTTTATGCACCACTTTTACCTACATTGCTGGCGTACTTCATGCCCTTTATTGGATATTTACTACTTTTGTTTCTAAGGAAGCTACTGAGGAAGCTAATAAGGAAGGTTAAACGTAAGGCATGTCGCTAACTCCGAATGACTTTATCAGAATTAAAAGATTTTTTACTTATCCAATTATTCTTTATTAATTGCTTTTATATCTTCTCTCATTCTTTTTATATTTTCTTTTAATAAGCTAATTAAATGCGTCCACCAATTTTTCATTCTTCGTACATTAATAAATTTCATCTCATACTTAATTTCGCCTTATTTCATTTACATCGAATAAATTTGCTACAGAGATGTTGTTTCTAAATTATACAACAAATTATTATCAAAAGATAGCACAGAAAAAATATGTTCTTTATTTTGAATTATTTTTTATTTAAAGATTCGCCGACCCGTGAAAAAGATTTATACAGTATAAGAGTTCTCATGATCCGGAAATTTCACACAAATTCACCTGCACAGGTGATGCAAGCTGATGTACAAGTGCCGTAGGGGTGTTGTATACATGAGGTAAGGGGAACACCTCTCGTCTTTTATTTTGGGAAAAAAAATCTCTGCTGTTCATAACTAGTTCCGACCTCTAGTATCACAATCCAAATACTCATTAAATTGATATTGTTATATACCAATCCAATCTCAAAAACCAGCATAAGACAAAGAATTAATAGCAGGGATATACGTTATTTAGGGTATGGTTTCTAATGTGGCATAATATAGTTTATAAGAAAGTATATATAAGATTTCCAATAATTAAGAGACAAAGAAACATTGTAATTACAATTGTATGGAGACAATTATACTTGAGAAACATTTATTAAAGAAACAAAATAGTAATTTTATTGTCAATCTATTAATACATAACAAATTCTTCTCTTACTTTCCAACTATTTTTTTCCCAATTTTTTCTATGTTATATCTCTCATCTTTTTTAATCATACTTTATCCTATTTATATAAAATTTATATAAAATATAATTTATATAATTTTTTTTGTTTTGTTTTCTGGTAGGTAAACATCATTTCTTTATTTGATTTGTATATTTAAAAAGTATACATCATGAAAGAAACAACATCTCTTACATGCAATAGCAGCAAGTTTAATGCTAGC